TATTCTCGGCCCTATTCTGTTTTCATTGTATATGCTACCTCTGGGATCAATTATAAAAAACACAACCTGTCTTTTCACTTTTATGCCGATGATTTGCAGATATATTTGCCCATGACACCAAACGAAAACACTGCACTTACTAAACTGCTGGACTGCATCACAGATATAAAACAGTGGCTGTCACAGAACTTTTGCACTTAAATGACAGCAAAACTGATTGCATTTTGTTTGGTTCACCAGCTAAGTCGAATGCTCTCACCACAAATTCTGGCACTCTGGCCCCTCTTTTTAAATCACATGTCAAAAATCTTGGGGTAACATTTGATACTGGGCTCAAATTTGACAAACAGATTAGCTCTGTTGTCAGTACGAGCTTTTTCAGCTCCGTGTTTTGGCCAAAGTGAAGTCTTTTCTCAGTCGGCAGGATCTTGAGAAGGCAATCCATGCTTTTATCAGCTCAAGACTGGACTACTGTAATGCCCTTTACGTCGGCCTCAGTCAGTCCTCAATTTCTCGTCTCCAACTTGTGCAGAACGCTGCTGCCCGATTTTTAACTAGCACGTCCAGACGCGAACACATTACCCGTGCTGTCGTCACTCCACTGGCTTCCAGTCCGTTTTAGAATTGATTTTAAACTTTTGTTGTTTGTTTTTAACACCATTAATGGCTTGGCCCCCCTTACTTGTCAGAGATTTTAACTTTCGCAATTGTGGCAGAGCCCGGCGCTCTTCAGGTCAGCTTCTGTTAGAAGTCCCTAGGTCCAGACTTAAACAGTGGGGCGATCGTTCTTTGCCGTCGCTGCTCCTAGACTGTGGAACAAACTGCCCCCTGACATTCGTACCACTACTGATCTCGGCCTTTTAAATCGAAGCTTAAGACCCACTTTTTAGATTAGCTTTTAATTCTGAATAGGACAGTACTGTCTCTTAGGTGTACTCTTTTTATCTGCTCCTTTCTGTGCATTTCTGGAAGGCTTTTAATACCCTGCAGTGCTGCAGCACTTTAAATTGTATTTGTATGTTATATATGTGTTATGTACTGTTTCATGGCTCTGTTGTAAAGCACTTTGGGTACCTTTCGGCTATTGTAAAGGGCTATACAAATAAACTTGATTTGATTTGATTTGATTTGATTTGATCTTGTGTGTTTTTTATAAGGTAGAAGGAGTAGATTTTAAGGATTTTAATGTGGAATAGAATCACACATATCAGACACACTTTATTGTTAAAAGCAGACTATTTGTATATGTCTTAATGTATCTGGAGGGGATCTTCAAGAAAAACAGTACTAGAGTATTCAGGTTTTGATTTATTATGAGCCTCTAGGGTTTGGTTCACTGTAAAAAGAAAAGTTTACAAGGTTTTTCCGTTTTTTCTGTATTTTTTTAAATACATAGATATGTTAATAAAATGACAAAACATCATTTTACATTTTACAAATTTACATGTCTAATGTAAAATAACGTAAAAACTGATATTTCCTGTTTATTTAATAGATTAAATTGTCAAATTCAAGGTTAATACTGTTAATACATTTCTAAAATATGTAAAATTAGTGACACTAACAGTAAAATTAAGTATTTGTTCTGTAATTTTACATGGATTTGTTAGTAAATTAACAGATATCTTATATAATTCAGTTTTCACAACACAAACGTTGAATAAATGTTGTTAAAATCAGTGTATAAACATTGGTAAACTATCAAACTACAGTTTTTATCAGTGAAAACAGCAATAATTAGTGTAATTTCACAGATAATGACTTTTATTACAGTTCTGTAAGTCTTACAATTCAGATTCAAATAAGAGAAATCTAATAATAACAGCACTCTGCTGTAAATCTAAGCCTGATTATTTGTATTATAGCAGATGGTCGTCATTGTTAAAAGGAAGGAGTGTTTGGAGGCCAGATGTGAACAGCTGTCAGTCAGCTGTTTCTGGTGTCAGTCAAACACTTTGTACATCCAGTCATCCCCCCGACCTCCTGCCTGAGGTTTGGCGGCCGTAAAACAACGTCACGCTCTTTTCGCCTTCAGCTCTGAGACACAAAAGCCATTAGTCAGAATGTTATTGTCCCTTTACACGAGCTGTGTCATGTGTTTGTCTCCAGAACTCACCAGAAAAAACGGGCGTACAGGTCATACGAGCTGTTAGGAGGCGAGCTGTTAGGAGGCGAGCTGTTAGGAGGCGAGCTGTTAGGAGGCGACCTCTAGTGGCGTACTTAAGGTCCGGTACGCCTGTTGCTGGAACTCTTGATGGTATGAGGACGGGTTGGTTTTATTTGACCGCAGTTTATGTACATTAAAACATTTAGCATTGCACTCCAGTAAAGACGGACTCACATATTGTCTCTTTTGTTTCATATCTTCCTTACCCAAAATGCAACTCGACCACACACAGTTTGATCGAAGATGGTTAATAGCCAATCGTCCATTACTGACATTGTGGTCCGGTGATGGTTTTGGGGGCATTGGTTTGGTGACACAAAAATGAAACCAGGAAATGTAGAGATTAGTTTTCCAGTCATGGAAACACCTGAAATTGATTAAAATGACCAAATACCCGGAAATAGTCGATGTTGTCCTGGAAAATCTTATTCCAGGACAATTCATATTTTAGCCCCTGACTCAGATTACGTAAACCTGGGAGCATTTTTGTTTAAAACTCGACACTGTGACACTTCAATGTGGATTTACAGACTGCTGAACGGAAACATTCCCCTTTTTCATTTCTTGTCATGTCAAACTTTTAGCGTTGCGTCTATTTTGGAATACAGCCGTTATAAACTGTTATTAATGAACACGTTTACATTGGTTGTTGAGGCTGATAATCGTTAATTGTACGTGCAACCAACTTCTTTTAATAGACTTAAATAGACTTTTAATACAGTGATGTTAGGTGAGGTTAGAACAGTGGTTGGGACCCCCCACTAGGGGTCGCCAGAGCTTCATGAGGGGTTGCAAGGCCTTCTTGATTTTAAAGAGTGCGAGAAAACTTTAAAACTACACAAAATAGTCTCTATCTCAGTATTTTATTCACTTTTGTGAAGAAATGTAAAGTAAATTGTGTAATAGAACGATGGCTGAACGTCAGGGAGAAGAGAATTAGTCACGAAATTCATCCAAATCTCTCATTTAATCAGTTTACTGACTGATATAAAAGGAAGGGAAGAGGTTGGGAACCACTGGGTCAGAAGGTTTTCTGTAAAATAAAATGAATGTGATGGATTAAAGTGTTATTCACTCTCTGCTGAGACTGTGGGGAGAACAGTCTCATAATAAACCACTGCTGTGAGCGACCGCTGTCCTATACTGTCTGGAAAAAGTCCTGGAAATCTCCTGGAAAAGTCCTGGAAAATGACTTTTTTAAAAACAATAACAGCGGGGGACCCTGATTATGTTTATTGGGACTGAACTGAGCGAAAGAAAAGGCAGAAAAAGAAAAAATAAAAAGTGAAATAAAGGAGGGTGAGAAGAATCTGAAGAAAGGAGGAAATATTTTGGGGGCAGAGAGAAAGAAAGTTCTCACAGAGAGGAAGAAGAGGGTAGAAATGGAGGATAAAAGGCTAAAAGAGAAGAAGAGCATGGGACGATAGAGACGGTAGAGAGGGGGAGCACACACACACACACACACACACACACACACACACACACACACACGATACAGAGGTGACTGTGACGTCAAACCGGAGCCCAGCTGACTCGCTGACCATCCTCGCGCTCTCTCTGCACATCTACTCCACGCGGCTGCTGCTGCTGCTGCACGCCCTTTCTAACCGCGAGGAGGAGGAGGAAGAAGAGGCACCAGAAGAAGAAGAAGAAGAAGAAGAAGAGACGGCTCACCGGAGGAGGAGGAGGAGGAGGAACTGGAGGAGGAGGAGGAGGAAGGAGACGTTATCGCTCTTTATATTTGGACACTTTCCATGGAGACGAGTCGCTGTTCCCTCGCGCGCTGTCCTCTCAGAGACAACCGGGTGGGATTGTGACGGAGGACCGTTGTGTGTCTTGGCGCCGCTCCCCCCTCCCCTCCCCTCCCCTCCCCTCCCTCCCTCCCTTACAACCCTCCCTCCCTCCTCAGCCAGGTGTTGCATTCAAGCGCGAGCCCCTCGTGTGGATGGAGAGGCACGAGACGGAGCGTTGATCCGCGCTGCGGAGCTCGCGCACTGATCCTCAACAACAAGTTGACATTTGGTGAATGTTCAGAACCGGATTCTATTCACGGATTTTCTTCCTGTTTTTGGGTCTTTTTCCCGCCGCTGTTGACCTCACCGGATTTCTCTCTTTGTGGCATCTTTAATGAACGTTACTGAAACCGGGAATTAACGTGAAAATTTAACGGGTTTTTTTTTTGGCTCCACGCGCAAATATATAGAGAGTGAACGGACCCAGCTGTGCCAACGACGCACGAGCCGTTATTGTGTGTGTGTGTGTGTGTGTGTGTGTGTGTGTGTGTGTGTGGAGGGGGGTGTTCGGTTTATCCTCCTCTGCGACAGCCTGACACCGCTCGCACCCCGAACCTCCGCCTTTGTTCCCCCCCCCCACACACCCCGGCTCTCCGTGACGCCGCGGCACCCTGATGGTGCGGACGGTCGGCGCACGGTGGCTCGAGCTGCTGCCCGGACGCGCCGCCCGGTGATTCCTCGGCTCGGAGACGCGGTGCACGATGGCGGCGGCGGCGGCGGCGGCGGTGATGGTGGCGATGATGATGGTGGAGGTGGTGCGCGGGTAATCCGGGAGATGCTTTTCCACTCGAGTCGGATTTGTGCGCCGTTTCTTCCGTGGAATCGTGACGATGACCTCCAGCCGCGCTTTTACCCCGTGCCGTGCTCGCCGCAACCCGAGAGAGAAGCACGCGCCCCCGGTTCGATGCGCACGAGAGGACGTCGTCTCCCCAAAATCGCTGAGCTGAACTCGCAACCGGGAAGGCAGGGATCATATTAACCGACACAACCGATAGGAGAAAACAACAACAACTACAACAACAACAACAACAACAACAACAATGGAACTGTCCGAGGTCCGGTGCTCCAGCGCGAGCGAGGAGCTGTACACCATCAACCGGACACCGAGCAGCAACAACAGCAACAGCAGCGGCAGCGCGCGACCCAAACGGCTGCTGTGGCAGAACGCGGTGCGGCACATCACCGAGCAGCGCTTCATCCACGAGCAGGGCGGGGGAGGCGGAGGAGGGGTGAAGGGCATCGGGCCGGACGAGCCCTACGACCCGAGCCAGGGCGCGCGGAAGCAGTCGGCGGGGCGGACGTCGGTGGGAGACCGGCACAACAACGGCGGGACCAAGGTGTTCCCGGAGCGCGCCAGCAGCGACCTGGGCTTCCTGCAGATCGACTGCGCGCCGAGCAACTCGGACTTCTTCCTGAACTGGGGCTACACGTACCGGGGCGTCATCTTCCCCACGCTGCGCAACGCCTTCAAGTCCCGCGACCTGGAGCGGCTGTACCAGCGCTACTTTCTGGGCCAGAGGCGCAAGTCGGTGGTGGTGATGAACATCCTGGACGTGGTGACCAAGCTCACCCTGCTGGTGCTGCACCTCACCCTGGCCTCCTCCCCGATGGACCCGATCAAAGGGACGCTCCTGGGCTTCTTCACGGGCATCGAGGTCGTCATTTGTGCCTTAGTGGTGGTGCGGAAGGACACCACGTCGCACAGCTACCTGCAGTACAGCGGCGTGGTCACCTGGGTGGCCATGGCCACGCAGATCCTGGCGGCCGGGCTGGGCTACGGGCTGCTGGGGGACGGGGTGGGATACGTGCTGTTCACCCTGTTCGCCACCTACAGCATGCTGCCGCTGCCGCTCACCTGGGCCATCATGGCCGGCCTGTTCACCTCCGGGCTCCACATCCTGGTCCAGCTGCTCATCTCCCAGAATGCACAGCTCTCTACCAACCAGGTAAGCTCCCCCCCCCTCATCTTCTCCATTCATCCCCTGTTCTTTCCTCCATCTCCTCTCATTTATTCACCTTTCTCCTTACCTCCATCTAATCCTCCTCTCCCTTTGCTCCGAGCATCTTCCCATAATCCTTCTCTTCCTCTCCCACCTCCCCCCTAATCCTTCTCCTCCTCTGTCCCCCCTTTGTTGCTCCTTTCCCCCTCCTTTCCTCTCCTCCTCCTTCTGATCCTCCAACTCTTATTCTCATCATCTGTTCTCCACCTCCTCCCCTCTCACTCCCTGCATCATCCCCTAATCCTCTCCTCTTCTTCTCCTTTACTGACTTCCTCTCCTTCCTCCTCCATATTCCACCTCCTCCCACTAATCCTCCTCCATCTCCGTCTCCCTTATGTTATTCTCCCCTCTCCTCCTTTTCTCCATCTTTATCTTCCTCTACTCCCCCCTCTTCTCCTCCTCTCTTCCATCCTCATCCTCTTCTTTATTAACTTCTTCCTCCTTCATCTCCCTCCACCTCCCCCCTTATAATCCTCCTCTTGTCCACTTTCTATCTTCCTCTCGTCTCTCCCATTATTCTCCCCCTTTCTTCCACCCTGCTCTGTCTCTACCTCCCTCTTTTCCTCCCTCAGCTTCCCCCACCTCTCCTCGATCTTCTTCTCCTTTTTCTCCTCACAATCCATCGCAATTTCCTCCCCCCTCCTCCCCCTCCTCCTCCTCGTCCTCTCTCCCCGATGAGCTGTTGTTGTTTACTGAAGCTGTGATGCTGCTTGTCATTCACGTTTCTCTCCGTTTTTTGCTCCGTGTTTCCGATTGCGAGCGTGAAACCTGAAAGTGGGCAGCAGTTAGTTTGCAGCAGACGCTCTCGTCCCCCCCCGGTCAGTGTCTCTGTGGGGTGGGGGTGGGGGGGTAATTGTGCCTGAACAGGGGCTAAAGCGCCGCTCTGCTCTATGACTTCCTCATTCATCAGGTCTTGCTTTTGTTTTTGTGAAAGGTTTCAGTTTGTGTGTGTGACACCCGCTGAAAGCCGAGGTTTCAGCACCAGGAGCTGTCCAACACACACACACACACACACACACACACACACACACACACACACACACAGAGGATCTGAAATGCACCACATAGGTTCAGCTCCCCCTACTGGTGAATATTAAAACCATAAATCCTTCCAGAGCTGTTTTAAGAGTCAGATGGGAGTTTGTTTTCTTATTTTTTTTATTTCAGTGTTTTTCACATTCAAAGGGAAGAAAACAGAACAGAAACATGAAGAATTCATAATATTTAATGTCAAAGGTCCATTAGAATCAGGAAGGAAGGTAGCGTCCTTTCTCCACTGTAGAATAAACCAGTGGTTCCCAACCTGAGGGTCGGCAACGTCTCCTGATTTTTAATCTGCTCAGAATTCATCCAAATCTCTGATTTTACACAAACTTCCTGCAGTTACTGAGTTCACTGTTTGTGTTCATTGTACAGTTTTAATATAATATGAAATATCCATGAAATATGTCACTGAGTCAGTTTAATAAATGATAATGATCCTTGAAGGAATAAACAGTCATTTTCTCCCATTTTCTAAAGAAGTTTGCTCCTGTAGATCTCAGACAGAAAGTCATCCTGTCCATTACAAAGATTTCTTTACCATCCACTGCTTGAGGCCTGGAGGCTCAGGTTTGTAGCAGTAAACACTATTTTACATGAGAGCTGTACAACAAGTCACAATATTACCAACAGGTGCAATATGAAAATCCCAGAAAGCTGCAACTTTTGATTTGAAGAAAACATGTTTGTTTACTCTTAACGGGGGGTGTAAAAAAAAATGGACATTTCCCAACCAAATTCCCTCCATGTCTTTGAGCTTGTGGATGAATGCTGTGTTCTCCACATCCAGTCCTCCTCTGAAATTTCTATATTAAGATATTTTCCCATTTTTCTTTAATATATCGTAAGAATTATGTCCTTTCTGCTTTTAAAGACCTTCTTAATAGGTATAATTGTGAAATAGTTTTGTTTAATGCTTCAGTCAGAACACCAACAGCTGGGAATTTTTAATATTTGAGGCAACGTAAATAGACTATTCAGCTATATGAACTGTGTACTCCAGTACATCAGAGTTATCATCAACCAAACTCCGTTCAGAAAATAAGCATTTTAAAAGTTGTTCATCTTGCATTCAGACTTTTTATAAATTAGCTACATGATATAGTTATTATACCTCATTTCGATCTGTTTGACACAGCAACACCTGTCTACTTTAGGCCCATACCGCTGTTGTAAAACAGGTTAAAGGGCGAATATTTTCCTTGCGTTACTTGCGTAAACTAGCATGAGTAACCCACTGTAAGACTAAGCAGTAATGTAGTTCTCATGGGAGCCCCTGCTGTATGTGACGACTACGCCAGCTAGAATGCTTTCTGTTTGGACCATTTGGTGCACATGTGACAGATTGTAGTTCATGTTTTTAAGCCTCATTAAGTAGAGTCTCTTTACTGTCTTATACAGCATGTTATAGACCCACCAGTGTACACTCCAAGTCAATAACTAATAATTATCCATAAGCCAAATTTATATACTTTTATCTCTGAAACTCATTAGTCCTTAAATAGAGCTTGTTGGTAAACAGACGCTGTTGTTTTATGTGTGAAAACAACACAACAACATTTAAAATGAACAGTGAGTGGATGAAGGAGGAACTGCGAAGAAGCAGAAACTGTCTGTCAGAGTTGTGCAGATGAAGCGCTGTGTGTTTGTGTGTTTGGATGGAAAACGCTCACCTGAAGTGGATCATTCAATATGGGAACATCAAAAGGTGTTTATCGTCTTAAGTTGGGTAAAACAGCATTCATGTTCTCGAGGTGGGCGTTAAATATTCTCAAGTACATCGTGTGTGTCTCATTTCAAAACGAAGGTCTTCACATCAGCGTTAAACTCCGCAGATGAGCAGTCAGATATGAAATACGTTCCACTGTCAGGTCGCTGGTTTCTGGCTCTGTTTACTGTTTCTTTACAACAGCTTTGGCTGGTGATGTTGTGGAAGAGAGGAGGCATCCTTCGGATTATGTCACACTAGAGGACTGCATCTCATACTAGACTCCATTGAAAAAAACAGTATTTTACTTCACAGATTTCAGTAAAATAATGTTCAAACTGGGTTGTAACAAAATAAAACCTTATCTTTTGTCTTCGTTAGTCTTTCCAACAATCACCAACTCTGTTTTGGTCAAAATAAACTTTTAATTCACAGAGTTAGATGTGAACATATTGGTGAAAAGGGATGCAATAGCTGCAAGGTAATCCTGGGGAAAGTCAAAGTAAATCCAATAAAAGTAGTTGTTTTAGCCACTGACAGGCTCAGATTGTTCTATTTATTCTAAGTGTTTGACAACATTATGGAAAGAATCCCTACTTTTGTTGCCACCAGACTCCACAGACAGAAATGGTAATTTTACCTCACGGATCACCGTTACATCGTAACTTCTTTCAAAGTGGACAGAAACAGAATAAAACTCATTAAAACCGTCTCTGTTAGTGTTTCCAACAATCACCAACTCTGGTTTGGTGGAAATAAATCCTTAATTCACCGACGTAGATGATAAAAACAGCAGTTTCAGTCGGAGCAGACCGGCTATGGAAACAAACCACAGAGAGGCTGCGATACAACACAGGCAGAGGGAGAGAGACACCATGTGACTCTGTATATAGAGAATAGCTGTTATATTAATGTCCTAACTTTATTATTCGTTCTGTGAATCCTCAGCATTATGAGCAGTGTGCAGAACATATGAGTATGAACATGTTTCTTCTGCATGTTCTTTGTTTAACTCAGCAAACATCCTTCAGGGACATTGCCATTAGCTCTTCACTTTAGTATTTGTGTCCTTGTTTATTTCATATTTTATTTGATTCCCGCCGTGTCTTCATCCCCAGAGTCAGAGTCCTGGTCGGAGCCACTGGAAATCAGTCGGCCTCCGTCGGTCCACCCCGCTCCAGTTCTGTGGCTAATTCTGGCCCCGCCGGGTCCTCCTGCTCCCACGCTAGTAGTGTTTAAACTCCCCCTGTCCTTCCAGCTCCGGTTACTGTCAGCCAATAGGACCACTAATTAGCTAGTGGCAGCAGCTAGTACAGTTAGCATATGCAGCAGTAAGAGACTCACTGTGTTACAAGAGAAAAAGTCTGTGTTGCAGCAATCCTCTGATGTTTTTGTTTTTCTAACCAACTAATGAAAAGTGCGTCAATTGAGACTCTTCTCATCGACTGACGATTACGGGGCAGCTCTAATTTATAGACGCTAGATAATCTTGAGATCACTGATACAAACAGTGTTTTTTTTCTTTGGGGCATTGCATTTAACAAAAAACACAGACTTAGTTTAGTTTGATTGTTCTTAGATATGCATAAGTAGAAATATTTATATAGATGATTGCAGATGTACACTGACAACACTCCCCATCTCTCTGTGAGCTCACACACCAGTGGCACAAGGCTGAATATGTGAATTATTTTCAGCGCGCTCATTGGCGCGGCTCAGAGTTGTACTTGTTAAGACATGCAGAAAACTCCAAAAATTCTCTCTGCGTCTGGTGCTGCCTGATCTGGATGAACAGAGCCTTGTCCCCCTACCGGCTGAATCCCATCGTGCTGCGCTCTCAGCTGACGCCGCCGACCCTCAGCGTGGAGGTTTAGATGACTGTAGATATGGTGCAGCTGACTGTACGCCGTACTGTGTGTCTCTTGTTGTCCAGCTCAGGGGGGATTTCCCAGCTCCCCCCTTCTGCGCGGTTCAGTCGTGTCACTGTGCTCGCAGCCACTGACCCAGCGACCCTCTCAGAGGAGAGGTCGGAGGTCGAGGCTGCTGGATAAACATATGATGATCTTACAGAATCATGATGCATTGCTGTAGCTTAAAGTGGTTAAAATGAGCTCAAATGCAACGTACACATGGATGAAGCAGTAATATAAATACAAAAACCACAGATATAATAGTAAAACACTGCTGAGAACAATTA